TGTTCCACGTACCTCCGGTGCTCTGCACTTTCAGCACGCTCTCTTTCCCGCCGTCCTGCTGGAATGCGCTGACAAGCGGGGCAGCGACTGTGAAGACGGCCCATTGGCCGTATGTGGGCGAGCTGGCCTGGGGACCAGAGGGCGCCGGGGCATTGACAACATTCTGGTAGCTGCGGGTGATGTTGGGGCCGTTGCTGGAGGTGTTGAGCGTGGCCATGGTGGGCGGAGTAGAGGGGAAGCTGTCGTGGGAGACGAAGCTTGGGGGAGTGGTGGAGAGGAGGAGGTGGAGGAAAAGCAGCACTCGGAATTGACAGCTAGCACGATGCGTGGTGGGACAGGCAGCGTACGCGTATCCCGTATGTGTGTCTGTGTAATTGGGCGTGAATTAACCTAGTCGGGTCGGGCAGGTCAGCACAGGCGGGCCACAAGTTCGGTGTGCAGAGCTGGCAGCTATGTCATGCTTGGCCCGCGCCCTCGAGCGGCTGGCGCTGGCGCTGGTGGCAGGCAAGCGGTGCCGACGGCGCGCCCAACGACCTTCAAGGAGACCCTCGTCCGCTTCACCGTGAATAATTGGACATAGCTCCTCGCACTGCCTGCCCTCGCTGCATGCCAAAGCAGCTTTCTGCATCCTTCAAACCGCCGCCTAGACCCCAGGCTCCATCCTTCTAGCCCTCTAGCCCTCTTCACCTCCACTCTGCCACGACAAACACTAGCATCGCCAACACACGCAGCGCACCGCCTTTTCCGCGCTCCATCTCATCGCGCGCTGCTCCATCGCATCGTCATCCATCGCATGTCGCTGTCTCTGTGTCTCTAGCCTGCGCATGCCGACAATGAGTCTGTTGTGAACGCTGCCCCAGCACGGCTGCGCCGCCATGGAGGACCGCGAATCAAGCCCAGCGTCGTCGGTCGACTTCTACGGCTCTGACGCGAATCCTCCCCAGGCGACGGCTGCGCAAAGCGACGCGCCTGTCGCAAAGCGCAAGGCAGAGGATGCGCCCCATGAGCGTGAAAAGAAGCGCAAGCTCAGCAGCGCGAAGCCGCTCGTGAAGCTACCACCCGAGTTGTGGCAGCATGTTTTCTCTTTTTGTTCGCTTGCAGATCTCGGTCGATTGATCCAGGTCAATCGATCTTTCCTATCCTATCTCACAGACGTGCGCAGTCTGTCGACTTCAAAGTCGCATCCTGGCCGTCTGCATCTCCTAAAGTCCGAGTCGTTGTGGGCCTCTGCCCGCAACGCAATGTGTACCAAGCCCCCGAAGCCGCTCCCAGGCTTCAGCGAGCTGCGCATGTGGCAGCTGGCTTGGTCCAGGAGATGTCAGTTCTGCAATAAGCTTGATTCTCTGACTCCAGGCGAGCGCGTATGGCAAAAGGGCCCCGGCAAAGAAGGCGTCCGCGTCATTTGGCCCTTCGCCATCAGAGCCTGCGGGCCGTGCCTGCTCAAACAATGCCAGACGGTGAGTTGCACCTTCCGCTTCCTGGATCGCGACTGACATGTATAGGACGCGAGCCTTCTCTTCTCGGCTGCCTCCGCCCTGCGGCCCGCCCTCCCGTTCGCCCTCCTTACCAGCGACCAGCACTACATTCCGGCATACACCCTGCAATCTGCGAATACGCCGGCCGACGTCGACATTGCCAAGTTCTACTACAAGAAGCATGTCGACGAGATCACGCAGGAGATGAACGAGGCCATCAGCCGTGGCCCTGCAGCAGCTGAGGAGTGGTCCAAAGGACTAGATGCTCGCGGAAAAGAACGCATGAAAGTCGCCGAGAACTGGGAACGCTGGGAGGTCAAGAACCTATGGCAGGAGGAGCACGAGCGTGTGAAGCGCGCTCCGTCTGCAGCTCCCTCGCATGCCGCCACGTCACACAAGGACCCGTCTAAATCACCCCCTCGTCGAACTCCCTCTCCCATAATTCATGCTCCGGTTCCAGCGAGTAAGTATACCTCTGCTGTCTCATTTGCTGCCACACATGGCGATGCCTTTCGATATGTCAACAACACCTCTCCAGTCCCCTCCCTAACAGGTGTAGCACCATCGTCGCAGCATGCGCAAGCGCGACCGCCTACTGTTCCACCACAGGCTTTCACCCCTTCTGGCCAGAGAAACCTACACGATGCAAACGAGGCCAAGGCGACCCGGAAGACCGACATAGAACGCCGGTGTCAGCAAATGGACCCTCCTATCGCTCCCAACGTCTTGCGCCACATGGACTCGTTCAAAGCGGCTATCCAGATTTCACAGCCAATGAACGACTATGCATGGAGTGTGCTCCAACCCCGCTTGATCGCTCAGCTCCCTGCTGCCCAACAAGCAGAAGCCGACCACGTGGCTCGGGCTGCTTCGTTTCCCACAAAAGCTGCCGACCGCCGCCACACGGACGCCAATTCTAAGGAGGCCAGGGAAGTCATGGACCGAGAGTGGGAAGAGTCGCAACGACCCATCCGCGACAGACTCGAAGCCATCGCCGACGACTTCATTAATCAGAGCTGGGACCATGGCAGCGCCGTCACTTACGACAACAGCCCAAAGTTTGCGGCCGACCTCCTTGCTCACGTGCGCCGCACATACTATGCCGAGGAACCCGAACAGGACTCTGATCATCCCGGGCAACATACGCAGCCTTCTACTGACAATATAACTACTAGGCCCAGGCTCGTCCTGGATAACATGAAATGGGTGTACGACAACAAGATCAAGCCTTTGACAGAACCATTCCGGAAGGACATCTTCCTGTGCCATGGTGGCGGATGCGAGTACAACAACAAGTACTATGGTTTCGAGGGCGTCACGCAGCACTACGGAGCCAAACATACTGCTGCCTTCAGTTCAGGAAACGTGGTCGTTGCATGGAGAGAAGCCGAGTGGCCGGAGGAGACTCCCTTCCACCCAGATCCTCTCTCTGTGAAGCAACCTCAACATGGTCATCATCCCTCTTCTAGTACGAATGGGTTTGGTGGCTATTTTGGCGGATACTCACGCGCAGGGACATCAACACCTCACATGCCAACTCACCATCCACAGGCGAGCCCTGGTCCTTACAACTATGGAGGCCAGTACAATGGACCATTCGCTCCACCACAGGTTCCTTCTGGCTTCGAGTACCCCCAGCCATATGCGACACCCGTGGATATGTATGCACATCAAGCAATGGGTCCACCAGGTTATGGTGCTCATGCGGCCCAGAACCCTTACCTGACTTCTCCAGCGATGATCAACAATGCCATAGCTCCACCACCACCCAACATGCCACCACCTAGCCAAGGAATTCCTGAGATCGCTCCTAGCGGTACAGAAGATACTGGCCAAAGTACTAGCTCGTTTGACAAGCAAGTAAGTACCGTCATCGACATGACCCAGGACATCTGGAAACGCACCTCGGGTATCAAGGACATGCCGAATAGCCTCCGGATCTATGTGTTGCTCCATCGCGTCATCTCCAAGTTTCATGTAGAGTTCAATCATGAACCGAACCTGAACCACTTCATTGATGCTCTGTCTAATCATGAGATGCCAAAGGCTTTGAAGAATGCACCAGGTCTCTCATGCAAAGCTTGTCAGACGGGCGCTTCGCATAACTTGGGAGGTTCCTTTTACTCCAAGTCGGAGGAAAGAACAACCTATACTGTCCTCGGCCTATTATCGCACTTCAGGAGCCAGCATCTGCCTTTTCAGCAACCAATGCCTGGCCATGGAATGCCTATTGCCCCTCTGGACTGGAAGGAACACATGATCGAGCTTCCAAGCGAACGGTTCATTTCTGGTCTCATACACGCCCCAGGCATGGATGACGAGAAGCTGCTAATGATAGCGACCGTCTTTCCCAGCTTGTTCCCTATGCCACTGCCTAAGATCGGCGTGATTGATAGCCATGGATTAGCTTCCCCAGCCTCGTCAGGACCGAAGGATTCAGACAAAACGACTGGCCCAGCCGATGTTGCTGGTGAGGGAATAGCACGCCCCAACTCTGTTATGAAAGCAGCAGAAGCAAATTCGGCGCTACCACCTAAACCGCTGGAGGCTGGTTATGAGCCTGTTCGACCAAGCCTTGCCGGCGAATCGAATGAGGCGTCGGGCTCCATGAACAGGAAACGTTCATATCGAGAGAGCTCCCCCGCAGAGCGTAGGCAGCACCATTATGCTGAGCCGCGATACTATGTACGTGATCTACCAAACTCCGCAGAAACATTAGTGAAACTAACATCTTTGTCTGCCAGCTGCCGAGGGATCACCTTGATGACGGCTATCACCGCCCCCGGGAGTATGTGGAGTACGCCCCCAGCCCAAGGATCATCCATGCAGGTCCTACATATGAGGATTACACCGGCCGCCGAACAGCGTTCCGCGAGCAAGAGCGATTCTATGGACCACCCGAGGACGTGGTCTACGCACATCCGCGGGAAGGAAGCCACGGCAGTCGGGAATACAGTGCCTATCCCCGCCAGGCTCGATACTATGAAGAAGATGATCATCGGCCCGAATACCGGTTCATGAACGAGCGTCAGTCAAGGGATGCCAGTCCACCTCAAGGGCAATCTGCAGCAGATCGGTTCCTAGCAGAGAACGAACCCCCACAACCACAACCACAGTCCGAAGTAGACGCTGCTGCACCAGCGCAGGAAAACGGGGATGGGCCTCATTACACACCTCCGCCTCCAGAAGCTCCTGCACCAGCAGATGCAACAGCACCTGTTCGCCCACTTGCGCCCCCACATCCTCGAGCTCCTTCCACTGTTTCCAACAAGTCCCGATATGACGACTATCAACCTAACGGGTATCGGATGCCAATGTCTGGACCAAGCGGTCCGCCACGAAGGGCTGGACCTCAACGCCGAAGAGATCGGCCGAACGATAACCGGGGACCGTCTCGATATCAGCGATACATGAGTGTTGCGCGGGAAGATCCCTATGGACGTGGTTCCAGCATGAGCCGATCGCAAAGCCGGAGATATGAAGAACAAAAGCGTCGCATCGATCAACAAGAAACACCGCAGCCCAATGCTGAGCCTGACTACGAGCCTGCGTATTCTCGAGAGCACAGCCTCGATCAGTCTGTACAAGATGAAGGGTTCTATCCACCTGCCCGCCGTCATCCCCGCGGCTACGTCTCTGTGCAAGACCGTCTGCATCCACATGCACACGGGTACTCACCACCACGATATCGTTACGATGAACCACGCGGTCCACAACCAGTTTATGTTGACGAGTACGGGCATCCCATGCATGACTACGAGGTCATTCGTGTACGTGGTGACACCAGGTATCGGGCCCCGTATATGCCACATCAGCCTCACCGATATGAACATGACTCATATGGATACGTCCCAGTCCAATACGAGAGGCCTGCACCACAGAGATACAATAGTCGCCCTGACGACTATATGTACTACGAAGAAAGGGAGAGACCCTTGCCTAGACGAGCGGCGCCGGAGGCAGAGAGTGATGTATACGAGCCACCGCAACCAGAAATCAAGGTGGAAAGCGTGCCTGTGCCCATGCCGCCGGAGGCGTCTTGATTTCACATTTAGCGTGGCGTTCAATCGTGTAACGAATTTCGCACCTTGTTTATACCTTTACTTTTCTACATGTGGTTTTCTCCTGGCTGGGTCATGTGGACTTAATGGGTTAATCCTATCTATCACGATCAAATGGTTGGTACTATTCAGTCACAAATTCTTGTGCAATCTCTTGCTCGACTTTAATATGATGTTTTACTTCTACGAGACTGTGTGCTCTGGGTGACTGTCAAGTCAATTTCATGATGCGTGACGTCGATCAGACACAGGCTCAGATTGCGAAAAGCTGGATGACGAGCGAGTTTTGTTATGGCACGCGTGCCTTCTATAGGGTATCAAAATGAGGACACGATGCAGAATGATAAACAGGTCTATGCGGTCGACTGAATCACTGGCTCAACCGAGGACTTCTCATCCACGCCCTGAGCAGCAGCATCAATCTTGTTTTGAGCGAGGCGCTGCAACACTGTCAGTGTAGTCCCGTAGGTAGACGCATGATTACGTACCAACAGATTCCTCAAGAGCACCGCAATAGTGACTTTGCCGATGGCAGGAACGTAGATGGAGGCTTTCTCCTTGACCTCGGGCGTGAAGTTCCTCTCACTGGAAAAGTTGATGCATGCGGCTCCGTCCCTCATCAAATCGAGTGGCACCTTGTACTTGTCTCCAGGTACACCGCTGATGACTACATCGCTAAGTGGGAGACAGTCGTTGAGGGTCCAGCCAGGCTTCTCCACTACCTCGTGTCTTCGCTTTCGTAGACCAACGCCTCGTGTGAATTCCTGCACATCGCTGATATCCACGCTGTAGACATGGGCACCGTCGTTGGCAAGTAGTGCTGCAAGCGGTCTGCCTACCACTTCGCTTCTGTTGATGACGGTAATGGTGCGTCCGTGCAGTCTGTTACCGTATGGCAGGATGGTATTGTAGATTCTCAGGTACTCCAGGATCTTGATCACGGCCAGGGGTGTGCAAGGCAAGATGCTCTTCTTGGTGTTGGCAGGGTCAAGGAAGCGGATGTTTTGGTACATGTTGAAAATGTAACGATGCGACAGCCCTTCCACGTCCTTGTCGATGGAGACAATCTGCTGGAGATATTGGTCCTGGCGGTTACCGAAGATGGGGTAGTAGACAATGATGCCGTCCACGGCAGCGTCGTTGTTCGCTTCGATGAGGCGGTCCTCAAGGAGCTCGCGGTCGACTTCGCGCAGGTCAAATGCGAAGCCACTACAATGAGGTTAGTAGGCGGCTTTCACCCAACTTCCAGCCAAAGCCTCAGCCATGGAAGAAGTGAGTATTGACTAGTGGACGCGCTCACTTTTCAACACAAGTTTTGCCAGTCCATTCTGCGTATACCCTGGCGGCAGGATCTGCGCTGGAGAGGAAGCCAACGAGTAGCGGCTTGCGCGGAATCTTGCTCAGACCATCGCGTACTTCGTCCAAAAGACCCTTGGCGATGTTGTTCGCAAGGATGACTTTGCAGTTAGGTTTATCGTCGGCCATGGCGGGGTAACTTTGCTGTTCTGGGGATGATGAGCAGCGGAATAGTCGACGATTGGAATAGTAGATCCAAGATATGAGTCGGTCCAGAGAAGACGATTTATTTCACAGCACGGGGCCACAGGGACCAGTCAAGCCTCTTCCATCGGGTCAATTAAACACACTTTTCTCACTGCCGACACTTTCCAATAACTTTTTTCGCGCGACCCGCCCCACCATTCCGATACCGGCCAATCAGCAGCACCGCAACTCCGTAACGTCATTGCCGCGACTGTGCAACTTTCTGAATCGCGTGCTTCGAGGCATACGGCAACACATTGCAATATACCGCACCCGCGACGATCAACATGTCAGATGCTCAGCAGTATCTGCTGGACTTTGATAGGAACAAGAAAGAAGCCACGGCGACTGCTCAGCGGAGCGCGACGCGTATGTACGAGGTTCCGGCGGGGCATCTGGCGGGATGAGGGCTGATTGTGGACAGGACTGAAGAATGGCGAATTGAAGCTTATCAGCCTGGTCACTGACCTTGGGGAATACTTGAACAGTGAAGATGGAGCCACGCGGTCGAAGAGTACGTATCGCCCTGGAATCTAGTAGGAGCTGGGCTAATTCATCGTAGCGATGTCGTACCTTGCGGAGGTACTCGCAGCCGTCCCACAGAAGGTTCTTTCCCTCCAACAACGTACGTGAGCCCTCGATCGCTCAGCCCATACTACATTGTTTCCCGTACACATCCATCGCATATCGCAGACCAAAACCATCATTGGAATCGAGTGGGAGCATTAGATATGGATTACATTCCTACGACGAGAACATCGTGTCATGAGATAGGACTGGGCTAACGCGAAGCTTAGGGAACCTGCTCTGCGACTTCACGCTTTCTCGAACCGAAGACAACGAAGGCCTCGGGTCATGCGCAAAGGCACTCCTGGCGCTGGAAGAGCTAGGGAAGTGGGACGACCAGCGGGTAGTCAGCATCGTTGAAGCGCTCCTCAATAACACACATCCGCTACGGCAATACAAGCAGCAGAGCGAACGTTACCCCGTGCTGCGCCTGATCGATACACTTATGGCGAAATACCGCGACGCCCTCCGAGCCCACCACGATGCGACACCAGACTTCTTGGGACGCTTCATATCATACTTTGACGGAGAGAAAGATCCTCGGAACTTGATGGTCGTCTTCTCGATACTCAGGGTTCCAATGACGGAATGGAACATCGGCGGAGATGCACAGGACCTGTTTGACGCAGTCTTCAACTACTTCCCAATTACCTTCAGGCCGCCACCTGATGATCCGTATGGCATCACGGCGCAGGACCTGAAGGATCGCTTGCGAGATTGCATTTCATCCACGGCCGACTTTGCGCCATATGCGTTCCCTGCGCTTCTGGACAAGCTCGATTCCACATCGATGAACACCAAGCGAGACGTTCTATCAACGATTACAGCCTCAGTGACCGAGTACGGGCCAAGAACTGTATCGTTATACGCGGTTACGCTATGGGACGCACTGAAGTTTGAAGTCTTGAATGTACAAGAGGAAGACCTGGCGAAGGAAGCGCTTGCAGGCCTAGCCGCAATTGCAAGAACACTATCGAAGGGCACCCCGGGATCACTCAATGCGTACCTCAAACCTGTTATCAAGGAGTGCAACGAACACCTCGAAGATGCGCCCACGAAGCAATCCCAAGCTTCCGCAAGGTTTCTCGAAAGTATCGCCAATGTGTCTCCCGAAGTCACTAGCCTCGTACTGGCCGGAGTGCTACCGAACCTATTCTTACTATTCCAGACAGCCGACACCATGGCAAAGCGCCGAGGCTTACTGGAAGTTCTCGTACAACTAGTAAAAGCTAACATCGACGTCTATGGTGACTGGAGAAAGATGGGCCCTGGTGGAGAAGACATCAGCAACAATGCACTCGCTCAGTTCCGAGACCAAGCGCTAGAAGTCATGTTGAATGGTCTTGAGACGGCCCCAGCCAAAGAAGTTTCATTCAGATTAGTCTGTCTTGATGGACTCATCCAGCTATCAAAAGCGCGAGGTCTACTTAGCGATGACGATATCGGCAGAATCATTCAGCTTCTGCATTCCATCGTCATCCACGAAGAATCACATGGAAAGGACGAGGTCAAGGAAGCAGCCATCAACGGTATCGTTGAGATTGCACACCAGAAGCCACAGGTCGTAGTCGAGAAAGCATTCCCGGCTTTCCTTGCGCAACTTCCAGACACAGACGCGGACGGGTCGAAAAGCTACTCGACCGTTCTCGAAGCCTTCGCCAAGCTGGCCAGCGAGGAGCAGGTATTTGACACGGTCATACTGCGGCTCAAGAACAAGTTCAGCGCCGCAGTCCAACAGAGTGCTTCTTCAACATACATTGTCGCGCTACTTTCTGCGATGTTGTATGCCCTCAAGAAAGGCGAAAACAAGCTGTCGCAGGGCTCAGACAGCTCCACTTACTACAAGGACATCGCGTTGCCACTCATCGAACGCGCATCGAGTTCTGATGAAACACATCCAGCAGCTTTTGACGATGAGACCACACTCGATCTTGTCGGCCGCATATGCAACTTGATCATCAGGTACCTTCCTACCGAACAACAGAACCATGTTGCTGCGGAGCTGTACACCTTATTCCGCGGCAAGCCACAAAATGAACTTCCACCCTTTAGTCTGGATGCCAATGTGGAAGCGAACAAGACGATGATCGTCTCCACACACCTCCTCGCTTCCCTCCGCAGGGACGCGACGCTGCCTTGTGAATTACAACTTTTGATCTCTTCTCTAGCAAATTACGCTCAGCAGCCCTCATTATCGCTACCAGTCCGGTCAGCATCTCTTCGGCAGATGTCTCTCATCATCAACAAGTACTATACCAGCGCTGCACTTAAGACATGCATGGACCCCCTTGTCGCGGACTTTGATCTTCTCAACCCGGAGAAGCTTGATCCGCCACGGATACGCATCATCTTCGCGTGCCTCAAAGGCATTGTATTGCGGAGCAGCCCTGCGCTGAACACATTGTATCCGACGCTCTTGTCCTTGCTATCACATCCGAAGTATGGCAGTACCGTCGCTCAAGGTTTCACAACGCTTTTGCAACCCGTCGACCTTCTCACCAAGGAAAACCACTGCCAGATTCTCGGTCTACATAAGCATAAGAGCTTCGCGTTACTAGTACCGAACATCACAAAATCATTCCGAGAAGCGGATGCCCAGACGAAGCCCAATTATCTCATCGCACTGAGCGGAGCTCTGAGATGGATGCCATTTGAGATAGTAGTCGAGGAAGTTGGACAGCTCGTTACCCTGCTTCTCCAATCTTTGGACCTCAAGGGCGTGGACGTTGTTAAGGAGGCTGCAATCGGCACTCTCACTTCAACTCTCACGGAGAAGCCGGAAGTGCTCGAGGAGCATGCTGGTGCACTCATCTCTCGTCTTCTGAACAACGCTACCGTTACGAAGGAGAACAAGGCTACGCCACCACCGCCAG